AAGGCAATTAATAAACAGCTGAAACTATATTAAAACATAGTGAGGGGTACGACGAAACCCCGAAACCCGAAATTAGCTAAAACTATATTAAAAACATAGTAAGGGATATGACAAAATTATTTTGAGGGAGTTTCGGCTGACATCTTTAATTAGGACCAATTAGGACCAATTAGGACTTTTACCAACCCTAAGTCTAACCGGTCGTGACAGATTTATTTGTCTAACATTATTTTGTATTGCATTGAGAGTATGAAACGATCTAGAAGCAATCGAGAATTCTGGTTGAGGAATAACACCATTGTATTGCCTTTTGTCTGGATAAACATTTTCACTTCTATTTGAGGATCTAATAAGTTCCTTAGGCGGTACTTCGAGTATAATTGCTCGACAATTAGGACAAATTATCGTACGCAAAAAAATATCATACGTATAGGTAATATCATGAATTATGTATCTCATTATGCATTTGAAATGGAAGACGTGGCCATATGCAAACTTTATATATGCTTGTGCCTGATTAACTTCGTTTAAACAGATAGTACAGTTTTCAGGCTCTGGAGGCTCTGAAAGATCTGAAGACTCTGAATGCTCTATTTCGCTAGCGAAATATAGAGATGTGTGAGTAACAATCTTAAGGCTTTTTGTATGGTCTCCATTAGAAGAATAAATTGCCAAGTTATTTTTTTCATACACTTAAATACTGTGGTAGGATTTACATGTGAGAGTCACGTCTCCATACCTCTATACCAAATCTGAAAGTCTTTTTTTATAATAACGTGAAGATTCGCACATCACACAGTTGGCAATAATTTCTACTACGTATTTCCAGTGATCGGATTCCACATGACGAAAGTTTCATATACTGCGCATTATTTTTTTTTGCACATGATTCGAAAAAAGAAATAAACCTACCTCCAGTATGATAATTCAGTCCATGCGACTATGCGATAATTCTCCTAAGCAGTTACCGGAGAAATAAAATTGGTGAGATTTTCCTTTCGTATCTCCTATCACGATAATAATAACTTCCTTCATATCCATCGTATCTATCATCATCGTGTCTCCTCTTAACTAATCTTGTCCCTATTCTTCGATACGAATATCTTCTGCGCATTTCTTCTGCACATTTCAGGTGATTGATTTCCTCACATGATTATTTTCGGCAGAATTCTCTACTTTATCTGGGAATTTCAAGAGATGCTTCCAGGTATCCGGACTTGACTTTACGGAATATAATTGTAACATCAAGTGGGATTCCAGGTTCTTTGATTTCATCAAAAAGACGCAAAGAAATAATATTTTTACCAGATTCCGGCGGAACCAAGATAGATATAGGCGGAGTACTTACCGATGTAGATGGTATACTCACCTTAGCTGGCATGGTTTGAGAAGCAGGTGATGCATTTTCTTAAGACAAGATTTTGAGATTCTGCATTAAAATAAAAATACTTAACCAAAACACGCATCTTTGAATGTAGCTACATTATAAGCAATTTACAAGTGTTTGTTACATGCAAAGTATCAATGTTTGTTATACTAAAAGTATTTACAATTTGTTGTTAGTTTATTTGTTCTTGTTAGCAGTAAATGGCCAAACCCTTAGACGTGTGTGTTGTTGGCAGACTAGCAAGCAATCCATTTGATGATAATTTTAGATATTTCCAACCCAACATTTATGAAATTGACTGTGATTACGGGTGATTGGACATATTTGCCCAAAATCACTGCAAGCATGAATCCTAACACTATTGGTGTAAAAATTTATTATAAATGGTCCCATCAATTTCTATCTTTACCCCCATAATAACAAACTTAGCTTCATAATAAACAGAATTTATAATTAAGGAAAAATTTTTCATTGATTCATCACTTTTAAAATATAATGCATTTGCGAGAGTAATAGTAACAATAGTTATTGCATACATTGCAATAGAGATTATTTCCCAGTTGACTTCCTATATGGTTTTGTAGGAAACAGAAACCGATGAAAAAACTTGTCAGTGTAAGTGTAAAGTATATTGGTATCTTAATAAAACAAATAAGTATTCTAATAAATGTACTGATTTTTGTTGTTCATATAAAATCATTTCTAACATTTTTACTTTTTCGTTTGAGGCATTGTACTCCATTCTCTGTCTCAGAGTCAAGCTATCAAGTACTCTTTGAAGATCGGGGGACAGTTGTAGTTGTTCTTAAATGACAATAATGGTATTAATAAACTTGAAAACTGCTACATACACTAAAATCTTACTTACCTACATTACCGACATTAGGTGCGTTAATGACATTAGGTACGACATTAGGTGCGTTACTAACATTAGGTGCATTAACATTCGCCATTTTGATTTTTATTGAAAGAAATAAGAAATTATAAAAAAAAAACGCGTATTTCACCCTTTATAAGTATGAATTTTTTGTCACACGTTAATTGTCATAATGACGACATTTATATATGAGAATTCAAAATAAAAAATCATGTGATTTCCCTTACCCGAGATAAACGAAATTTTGCCAAGAAAATTTATGTGACTTTAGGAGAATATCTTTTAGAAAATGATTATTTGTCCTTGCATTTCAGAACCTTTATTTTCAGCATCATTAAGTAAATTTACCACTATTTCCATAGTTGTCAGTTGGTGTAATATCACAACTGATCCACAGTTTAACCATTCTTTTTTATCTTACCCCATTAGAATGATAAAATCAGTTATGCGAATATCTATTTTATTTCTATAATATTCTGCTTTAGAGATGAGTCCATCTTGACTGGATACATCACAAAATGCCTTCATATTAAAGAATTCTTTCATTAAGGAGTGATATGCTTTATCTCTTGAATCATCACATTGGTTTTTGAAAGATTAATAAAGTTATCAATCCAAGGCATATTTTTTCGATCATATGATAATACTTCATAAACTTTATCAACTACTAAACCTTGATGAATAAGTTCTCGCAATTCTGTATCCATTACTGTCACACTTTTGGGCTGAGTCTCATTGGCTGATATTGAAGTTACCAATGGTGTAGATTGAATATGTCTTTTATTCTTTTTACGAACCATAATCTTGATTTTAGAAGAGTGAATTCAAAATCTCAAAGAAAAATGAAGAGACAGATGTTGTGCATAGATCAGCAAATTCTTCTGAGATAATAAATACTGCTTCTAGTAAAAAGTTCAGAAATAAAATCATTTGTAATATCAGTCGTATCCATAAATATAGGAAGAGGCATATTATTACTATAAACATCTTTATCCTCTGATTTAGTTTCAGAATCAGAGCTAGAAGATTCTGAATTAGAGCAGTATTCTTTATCAAAATTATCGATATGTATATTTTGATTGAGCTGATTCATGGCTTTTTTGCTAATATTTTCACATTCTTCCAAATCTAGAAATTTTAAATTGAGACATGAGCGAGCAATTTTTCTGATAGTCGTACTGGTAATATTATAGTATCTGAGTTCGAGATGTTGGAGTCTTTGGCAGGAACGTATTACATTACAAATCGATGATTCAATGACAAAAGAACAGCAACTTAGATCGAGATATTCCAATTTATGATAAGTATAAGCCAGCGCTTCAGTAACCTTATCATTAATATCATTACCACTGATTTCTATATGTCTCAAATTTGGAGATCTTTTGATAATGGCTATAATTAATCTATCGTCCTATAAAGCTATAGCATCATTAAAATCAAGATACTCTATATTGAAGCATCTTCGCATTAAAGTACTAGTATCTTTAACATCTTTATGACTAAATGCAATATCAAGTTTTCGTAAATTTAGGCATGAGTTTATGATATAAATTATAGATTTATTGTGATCTAATATGTTTTGGCAAAATAAAACTCTTGCAAATCATGATAATTTCTTGCATTTCAAACAAAGATTTATCACTAATATTCTGCAGTAAGAAATATTTAGATACAGTCGACCCCCTCTACAGTTATTTCCTATACAATCACATCATATAAATCCTCCGTTATAAGCACACCTTTCATAAAAACCAGTTCCTATTAACACTATATAAAAAAACCCTTCTATAATCACAATGTTATTATAGTCACATCATTTTGGAACCAATACCTAGTAATACTATAAAAAATTCTTCTATATAGTCACTTTTCACTATAGTCACACTTTTTATTTTTGGTCCTGAGGGGTGTAACAGTAGAGAGGGTCGACTGTATTCTAATTTACAACATGATTACGCAATTGCATATAACCTTTATCAGTTATTTGAGCATTCTACAAATTAAGATATCTCAAATTAGGATATGATTCTGCTATTACAAATAGTGATTTATCGCTAAGACCTATACTATCTTTGAAATCTAAATGAATTATATTTGGAAATGTTTTCACAATACTTTTTATTTTTTTATCTGAAAGTGAATAGTAAAAAGTAATTTCTAGATAAGTTGTATTTGAAACATAAGCTGGCTTATACTTTTTGCATATTATTTTTACAAATCTTTCCCATCGAATATGATCTCTTGTACAATAATTATAATCTTCTGGAAAATAATACCAATATCTTAGGTCATTTTCCTTTAACTCAATGTGTTTCTATAGAATAAAAGCACTGCATCTGTATCACAATCGAAATATAATAGAGCGGGATACAGTATCTTATCTACTACTAGGAAATATAGAATCCACTCTAATAGTTCTGGTATAATAAAATGCTTAAATGCGTCATAAATAATGTGTATTATATGCTGTATCTTTAATCAAAAAAAATCTTTTGAACAAGACTAAAGGCACTTCGCATGATCACTGCTCTGAACTAAGCCTTTTCATTATTTTATCTAGCACAATCATCTTTAAACCATCTATACGAACTTTAAACATATTCTCAGATGATAATCCTCTAAAAAAATATATTTTTAAAAAGCCATTTTGGATAGTCTTTGCTTAAATTACACTCTTTTAATTTCAAATAAAATTCCTTTACTGTATAATTACTCTGAGTTAATCTTCACATTTGAAATTTCATTCTTTCGGACAATACATGATTCGTCTCTCTTTTCCATATATCATTTATATTGTGAGAATTTTTTAGGTCCCATTCTGAAAGATACTTTAGAATGAATGATATTAGTTCAGACAGAAGTTATTCTAGTAAATTAACTGTATATATTTTTATATGGTTAGAATATCTTTCAATCAGAAAAAATCTTCTGAACAGATGATTACTGCTTCAGGCTATCAGTTGGGTTGGAAAAATCAGTCATAGCTTAAATCTGACTATCAGATAATGTCGAAATATAATTTACTTCTTCGAATAGGATCGCAAAATTATTGTCTAATAATAGTTTTGAACTACATATATCCAAAATTGCATCATTTTCTCGCAACCATAGTATTCCTAAAATTAAATCAGGTCCCAGCCAATCTGGCCTAAGAACCATAAATTCACTGGGCTCAATACTTTTATGCTTTTCATTATCATTAAAGCCAATGTGCAGATTAACCTTTTCTAATATAGAATAGTAATTCCTAATTTATAAATATATTTATGACTAATATATTTAGCATCAGTACATATATCAATTAATGCTTCAGTAGGGATATTTTCTTCAATTACATAATTCATAATCACCATTTTTTATTATGGTATATAATATTTAAAATAATAAATATATTTATTCACAAGCGTTAGAGAACAATCTGGTATTCTAGAATGATAGTGTATATCATTATTCAGTCTGATTGGCTAATTCATCACTTCAAACTATAAATCGTTTAATCTTTCTTTATCATGTCTTTCTTCATTGCTTATGAGGAATAACTTTTTCTATCTGATACCTTTAAAATCTCTCAATTATTTCAACTGAATCAGAATCTTCGGAAGACTCAGATGAATAGAAGAGACTCTTATATTTTTTAATATTTATCGAAAAAGCTATTTTTTGTATTAAGTCGATCACAGTTTTTCTATCTACACATTCGTCTAGATCTTTTAATTTGTTTTTTAAGAATTTTATATCCCTTTCCAATTCTTTTACCCTCCTTTTTAAAGTGTTATATTGGGAATGATAATCTTTTAATTGTTTCTTTAATACCTTATTTTCAATGGAAAGCGTACTATACATATTTGCATTTTGTTCAGGTATAAGTAATTTGGCTATTTTCTCTATATGTCTGATAACTTTCTGCTCAATATCTGTACTATTAGATGAATGCTTTTAATCAGTTACCATTTTTGTGATATATTATATACACTATATCTTGCTTTAAGTGAAAAAATAAATAAATTAAAAAATGATATCTAATCTATATATATGATTAGTTTTCATCAGAGAACATGAATAGTTTTGCTTGATTGTAAGGCATTTCGCAAGCTCACATATTCACTATAGTATACTTCTTAGTTGGAGACACATTATTATCAGGACAGTGCTGAAGTGTCTGACTGGCAATGGTTAAAGCTTTTGATGGATTTTTCACTTTATACACTTCATATGCAAATGCACACCCTAAATTGCACAAATTTCTAGAAAGAAGTGGCTTACCTGTTTCAGGAAGACATTTATCCTCTTTCAGAAATTTATTTAAGAATTTAGCTTCAGGACTTCCTGGGTCCCTAACTATTTGAAAGATATTGCTTCCTGAATCCATATAAGTAATTTTCTTACCCGCTTCTCATTCGTTTTCAGTGATCTAAAGACCTAAGGAATGTCTTATTGATCCTGATTTTTTGTATAACCAGTTACACCTCCATTAGATATATGCAAGTTTTTAATTTCAGAAGGACGAATGTATAACATGATCATTACATCAACTAGAGCCAGTTTCTTAGATGTATTAGTCACATTATATGAATTCAGTCTCTCTTTAATCAATTCTAATGATAAGTGATTTGGGTAATCGATTCCTTCATTTTCACATTGATCACTTCGTACCTTTTGAATTTTATTAGATGCACAAGTTATTTCTCAGTCAAACATGACAGAGGTTATTTCTTCTGGAACATTGAGATTTCGCAATTCCCTTTGAGTCCTGAATATACGTGATGAACCAACAATAGCATTAGTAGCTATTTTGACTAAGGCTCTATATATTGCTTTTACTTCTTTTTTGCTAAGATTATCTCATATAATACACTGAGCTATTTCTTTGATAGTCTCTCCTTCTAGAATAATATTAGATACTTAGCATATATTTACTTTTACTTCTGCTTCTGATTCTTGAGAAGTTATTTGTATTTTAGCTTGACCAATTCTTTAAGAGGAGACTATTATAGATATCTGCTCTTTGCTAAAACTATATCCATTTTTAAGATGCCAATGACCTTATCTTTTTTCATTCCATCTGTTAAGAGTTTG